TTTTTGTAAGACCTTAAAAACAATTTATCCAAGGCTTGTGGGTTAAAGCAGAATCCTGCACTACATTAAATTACAGTAGAACCCCTCCTTTGGGACACCCCTATTCAGGGGACACCTCTATTAAGGTGACACTTTTCCGTAAAACGAGGGGCGATATATCTTTCAACACTGCGGCCAACTACTATTAAAGAGACACCCCTATTAAGGGGACGGAGACACCTTCTGAGTGTGCCAATGGTTAAATAACCCCTATTAAGTGGACACTTATTTTTTATCTATTGTATCACAACAAATACAAGTCTCAATAAGAAAAAAAATCACTCAGCTTTATATATTGACACATTTAGAGCAACTTATTAAGGAACTTCTAGCACCTTTCTACTGCTGTTTGTCAAGGGCGAGCTTTTGTTAGACAATGTAATAATAATAATAATAATAATAATAATAATAATAATAATAATAATAATATTTTAACTGAAATTGCAGAAAGAATTTTGAACCAAGTAAAATAATCTGTCTTTGTTTGGAAGTAGTTTGGTGTTTAATTATTTTCATGGTTTGTTATTTTGCTTGTACTGTATCTGTTTAAGTGGTGTTCTGTTCTCTTCTCTTATTGATTATGATTGCATTTTGTATTTTGAGAATTTGTCCAATTTTTCCTTGGTTTATATTTTAATTATTCTGGTATGTATAAATAACTTAATCCTTTTTAATGAAATTGTTCTATTGTTTAAAATTTATTGTAGGCTTACTGCTTTACTTCTCTGTTCCAGTGGTTTTCTCAATAAATTGAAATTGACGATTGAATTTTGAAATTTGAGCAATAAACCACAATTTTCTCCCTAAATCCTTAGAGTAAATATCAGTATAGGCATACTGCATGCGTTACTTTGTATAAACCAATCCTGTCAATTCTGACCCTTAACCATTGGGATTTCTTTTTCTTCGTTTTTTTTGTGCACTTTTATAGGATTCTAATTCATTCATTAACATTGCATCATGAAACAATATTAGGAAAATATAAAACTAATGTTGTTTTAATTACATTTCTGCTGATTTCATATTATAAATGAATTGTATTTGCCTTGAAAATTATTGCTATAAATTACAGTAGTTATAAATACTACTGTAACTAATTATATCAATAAAAATAAAATTATGAAGAATTGTATGTCAGCGTTATATGAAAACATGAAAAGAGCAAAAGATTTTCCTTGCTGTTTCTATAGTCACAGTAAATTGTGAAGCTCTGTTAATAACACTATCAAAATTTTATGTGACAAATAAATGTGATGCCCATATTTAGATGTAAAATGACATCATCATACCTATATATAGGCACATCATATTTAATTGTCACATAACATTTGATAGTGTGGACAAAGACTTATTTTGATAGTCAAGCATAATTATCGGTCATGCACTCATAATCACAGGCATTTGTTTACAGGCTATCTTACAAATTGTTATTATCACAGACCAATTCATTAATTCAACCAAAGAGGAGCTCTCTCTCTCTGATAAACATAATAATAATTTTAGAACTCATTTATTTAAGCTAGCATACTATCATAGGCCTAGCCTACTGTATTGTAGGTCTACTCATTACATAATAATAATAATATCACATTTTAAAAAAATTAGGAATCTTGTGTGCGTTTTTACGTAGACAATATCAACTAGATTTGTGATGACGTCACAGGTGCATCGCTCCATCCAGTTTTATAGCGACATCATATTCACAGGCCATATTGTAATGCACAGGTGTAGAATGATTCCTAGACAAGTTCTTTGTATTAATTATTACTATCCTTGTATTTGTATAAATTATTACTATCCTTGTATTTGTATTAATTATTACTATCCTTGTATTTGTATTAAAATTATTAATATCCTTGTATTTGTATAAAAGAGCAATATTAAATAGCTCAGGTAGACAAAGAAGAAGAAATAATTGTAGACCTACACGAAGAAGATATCGTCGAAGAGAGAACAATGAACGTATGCGGTTAGTGAACCGCTAATGATGTAACCAAAATGTGTATGCTGTCATGAGTTTCTTGACAGTTTTTTAAATTTTTAACGGCAGTAAAGAGAGTCCTATTACACTACACTACAGTCTCTGATAAACATGTTGACCGAATATGTATTCATGAGACTCATCATCATTGTAAAAACTTTATATCAACTTTTCAATTGTATACAAATATAAATATTATAATCCAAATATTAAGTTTTCTTCTGTATTTCTTTTCATTATTCTGCCAGAATGGCATCTACTTGTATCTTTTGTGAATTTGCTGGAGGTGAAAATAATTGTTTTTTTGGTTTAAAAGTGTCCATACTATAAAATCTGCTTTGAAAAAAAAACAAAAAACTGTTGTATGCCAACATTATAGTCATGATGTGCCTATATCGTCACTCACATCACAAACTAACACAATTAAATTCAATTGTGTTAGTTCGTGAAATCAAAAAAAGCGCGTCAAAATACGCGCTGTTGTTAAGGGCTTTTTTGTGTGGTAAAGAATAAAAAATTGCTTGACAACCAATACGCGCTCGTTTTGATGCGCTACTGTGATTTCACGAACTAACACAATCTACTTTGATTGTGTTAGTTCGTGATGTGAGCGACGATATATGCAAATCATGATGTGATGTCATCCATACTATAAAATCTGCTTTGAAAAAAAAAAAAAAACTGTTGTATGCCAACATTATAGTCATGATGTGCCTATATCGTCACTCACATCACAAACTAACACAATTAAATTCAATTGTGTTAGTTCGTGAAATCAAAAAAAGCACGTCAGAATACGCGCTGTTGTTGTTAAGGGCTTTTTTGTGTGGTAAAGAATACAAAATTGCTTGACAACCAATACGCGCTCGTTTTGATGCGCTACTGTGATTTCACGAACTAACACAATCTACTTTGATTGTGTTAGTTCGTGATGTGAGCGACGATATATGCAAATCATGATGTGATGTCATCATGACCATATTTAGGCATGTCACATGTTTTTTGTCAAATAAATCTAATATTGTGGACAGTGCCTAACTGTTTAATTTGTACTGATGCTGTCAAGAGAGCCACTTCATTTTATTTTATTTTTTTTTTTCGTAACTTTTTGGCAAGATGAAAGGCTGCATCACATGCTTTATGTTTCTTTACTATTCCTGAAATAGATTTAGAATCTGTACGTGTCTGAACGAGTCTTTGTGCCGATATGATAATTAGATGGGTACTATAGCCTTGATTCAGGCAAATTGTCATGATGAATATATTAGTTTAATATGCAAACCTCTTATATTGTATGGTTTATTGGAAAAAAAATATTCATCCAGTTTATGTAAAGCAAATTGATGACTTGAAAAAATGCATTTGTATGGTTGCTTGTTGAAATGCTTTCCCAACAAACTAGCTTATTTTTAGGATTTCTTGACATTGCCACAATATTACTGTATGTCCAAGACTGGTGTACAAATAATTTGTATTGACCTTGAAAAACCACTGAAACCAAAGCTAGTTGGGTAATCATTGAGAAGGTTTGATTTTATTCCTTTTTTACTATAGCATATAACAGGTTACCATATTAAAGGATCAGAACCCATTGGGCTAATTAGGCAAATTTTTTTTTATACCTTGTTTCGTGAACTTATTATTTTTTTTTTAAGATTGTCAAAGGGCGTAAACAAAACAAAACAAAAACCAAAATTTTGTTTTCTTATTTAGCAAATGGTTTTGCCAAAAACATCCAGACAGAGGAGAAAATAAAAATAACATTTTATTGTTTAAATTTACATAATTAGGAAGAAATTTTCGCAAAATTTGAAATGGAAATTTCCGATAACCTGGCAACTACTGTACCACTGGGGTACTTTCAGAGGCCTAGCATTTCGCTCTGCCTAGTTACCATCATGGATTAAATCAACGATAAAACTAAATTACTAACGAACACAAATATTTTAAAATGGAAAAACATGAAATGTTTATATTAAAAACAAATCTAAGTCTTAAAAAGCTATTTCAATGTTTAACATACAGTAATTAGTAAGATCGTATATATGTTGTCTACTGCATCTATAGCTAAGGTCTATCGGCTAGCCAGCTGCTCAGGCTAGGCCGCTGGAAGTCCCCCAGTGAGTTGTGAGACATTGGCAGCGCTGTTTCAAAATATCCGATAAAATGGTCTATTTTTGGAGATTTCAAGGCAGTGGAAGTTGTAATAAAAATAAAGTAAAAATTCCTATTTTTTCTGAAATTTCCATTTTTACGTAGCAGCAGGTGCACTAATTGGCCAAAATATAAATTTTATTATTATTCGAAATCATCATTATTGAAGGGAGGTGGGTTTGTGAGGTATAAAAAGTCATGACTTACTTACTCCCGCACCAGAATCAATAAACTATGATTTGACAATACCGAATAGCCAAGTGCATACAACTTTGTCAACTCTGTGCCATTTTCATGTTTCTTTTTTTACATAATTTGGTCCTGAATATATTTTTGTGGCATAGACCAATAATAACAAATACTTTCACATCATTTTACTTCAATCTATCGTCTTTTTTATAAGTATTTAGGAATGTACTGAGCATTCAGTACGATAACACGTCTGGTAGGGCAAACATCATTCGTATAATTTACATTTTTATAAAACAACATCATTGACAATCCAATCATCAATTAATCAAGTTGAGTTGAGTGAGGTGGGGGAAAAATTGCTAACTATATAAATTTTATTAAAATAAAAAACACTGCAGTTGAAATTAATCAATGTTTGCTCCTTATACTAAAATAGGCCTAAACTAAACCTAGGGAAGGAATGTCTATTGGCTAGGCTAGGCCTCCTTACAGTTTGCTGCACAGCCCTCTCTTTCTCTCCTCCGATCCGTCCCTGTGCAAAATGTGAAGTATCTCCCTCCTACTGACAATGTCAGGCATGTTGAATCATTATATCACACTATGTAAAATTGCTGTACAATAGTGTTAAACTTACAAAATTCCAGATGTATTGCCAGCTTATGATGAACCTTGCCAGTAAAAATCATCCAGGTGAGAGAGTCAACATGACAAATTTAGAAAACAAAGTTCACTGCCACTTTTGATGGTCCTTGCGACACAAAAGGATGATGAGCTGGGGATTCGCTACTTTTGCTCGTTCAAAGGTGGCGCCCTACAACTTTTTTTGCGCAGGGCTAGGGATAGAATCGAGATGAGGGAGCTCGGCGCGGTGTGTGCTCCTCCTTCGGACAAAGCGAAGGTTGTCGTCGGGAGATGACAGAAGAATAATATATTACTTATTTAGAGATACGTAATGGTATCTAATTTTATATAGAGGCATAGGTAAGGCTTTTAATTAGTTGAAGCTCCTATCTGAAGTTGTTGTTATTTAATTGATATTGTTATTAAGTCACAATTAAACGCTAAGCATCGCATACACAATAGCCTAGCTAAGCCCATGCAGCCACAGCCTATGTTGCTACGTTAATCATAATCGGCAAAGCCTAGCTAGGTGAGGCCTAGGCTAGAGTAGTTATATAACGATGTCAGCTATGATGACCACCAGGAACCTTCTGCGGGACTAATAAACAGGATAACATCAGGGTCTCTTGGCCTAGGGCCTATCCGACCTTGTGATCACGGTGAACATGTTTTATGCTGTGCATCCAAAACGACAAGTTTACCAATTTTTATTATTAATAATAATTTTAGAAAACTGATTTATTTAAGCTAGCATACTATCATAGGCCTAGCCTACTGTATTGTAGGTTTACTTATTACATAATAATATCCCATTTTAAAAAATTAGGAATCTTGTTTGTGTGCGTTTTTACGTAGACACTATCAACTAGATCTGTGATGACGTCACAGGTGCATCGCTCCATCCAGTTTTATAGCGACATCACATTCACAGGCCATATTGTAATGCACAGGTGTAGGATCAGTGCTCGCAGAATTATGAAATATTAGGTTGCCCTTCGGGCAACCAATATCTCAAATTTGGTTGCCCTCACAATTTTTTACTTGCCCACCCCCTATTTTGAATTATTTTATGACATTATTCTATTATTCAATTATTAAATTATTCAATTATTGCAGATAGATTTTTGGAGTATGGAAGTGTGACAAGTTTTCTTCGCGGTACACCGCAAAGTAAAATTGTAAACAATCACCAAGTGTAGTTTAATGTCAGTGTCAAATTTATACGATCGGGATCGAGATGGGCCTTGCCACAAAGGCAGATTAATTAAATATTTAATATTTATTTTACCAAGCAGCAGCATCGTCGGTATCGTAAGTTGACGACGGCTTAAAACATTTTAGAAACTCATGTTATCATAGAAAGGACAGCAGTGTGAAGCGTTCGCAATGAAAATCAAAATGAAAGTGACAAGGCCTAGACCAAGAAAATATGCAGAGTTTATCTCCTGTTTTTTAGCAGTATCAGCGGTGCCTACAAAAACTTTCGGCATCTTCGAAGATAAGCATTCATTTCATCCAGATAGGGTTTTGGAGAAGAAGTGTGAGGTTTTCTTCGCGGTACACCGCAGTCAAATTGTAAACAATCATCAAGCGTCAGTGTCAAATTAATAGGCCTACGATCGGGATTGAGATGGGAATTTCCACAAAGGCAGATTAATAGAATATTCAATAATTATTTTAAGTACTTAATTAATACTGTACACTAATGGACCTTCAATTTATTGCCTACAGCGGGGTGTGATGATTGAAATGTACGCCTAAAGTTAGTAACAATTAACAACAACTTACGACGTGATGAGATCATGCCCAGCGCTTGGTGCATAAATGAAGTACTACGCATGCGTGTAACAAAGAAAATAAAGTTAGCTGGAGCACATGTACTTTGAGAGCAGTGCTCAGTAGGTTAAATCAAGGCATAGATTGCAAGTCTACGTTGATCGTTGGTAAATTATTCATCCAGGGAGGAAATCTAAAATGTTTTTGATACTCTGGGTTTTGCTTTTCTATCGTCCGTTGGCTATATGCTGATTTAATGGAATCATATGCAGCTAAATCTAAGGGCCCTACTGTATAATATATTGTACATCATATAAACAATTAATACCTACCGTACGATCCTCTGGTGATCCTTGCACTGTAAACTGTACAGTTAAATTATTTAATCATATTTATATTATTATATTATTATTACTTATTATTGTATGCATTATTCGAACGTGTTCCGAAGTAACATTGAATGCAAATTAAATGTAAAATTATTATAAACCTATGGAACATTATTATTTAATATTATTATTATTATTATTATTATTATTATTATTATTATTATTATTATTATTATTATTATTATTATAATTGTTGTTGTTGTTATTGTTATTATTATTATTATTGTTATTATTGCTACTATTATTACTGTTATTACATCAGTTATTATTATTATAATCATATTGAAAAACGGAGACAACATAATTCAGCATTCTTTATTACAAACAACCAATCGATTTAATTGCTTATAAAATTCATACATAACAAAACACAAAAAAAAATGAATGTAAATAATTTAATGAATTCCGATTTTATTGAATTACCACCATAGCTTAATAATTCAAAGTTACAAATAATACAAAAAAAAACATCTGATATTTTAGAGGTTGCCCGTCGGGACCTACCCTTTTAAATTTGAGTTGCCCGACATAAATTTTTGGTTGCCGCGGGACGTCGGGCACCCGATTCTGCGAGCCCTGCAGGATGATTCCTAGACAATATCTACTTAGATTAGATTTTTTTAACATATATTATTTTTGGCCATCTTACATAATGTAACAAATCCACCAAATCTCGCGAATCTGGCATGAAACTCAATCTTGTGCCAACCACTTAAAATCTAACAGCATTTTGTGACGAAGTCATACCTTTTTTCCAATAATTCACATTAAAAATAGAATACAAAGCATACCATGGCATGATTACAGTGTGGCCCGGTGTCGGCCTATTAAAACATCTTCTTTTTATGGCCCAATTTTTGGGGAGATTTTTATCAAATTAAGACACTTTTTGTAAGTTTGATAGTTGCTATGTCCAGACATCACAGGTACAGTTACTGTATGCTAAAAAAAGTTTCTCGCTTCAGCCCCAACTATGGTGGGGCTGAAGGCAAGGTGTGTGTGTGACTTTCCTCTTAAGCCAGCTGAGCTACACCTCCTAACTTGATACTGTAGCTAAAATGATGTAACATAGACATCTAAAATTTTAATATAATTATTGACATCTTCTAAGAGGAATTATTAATTTTTGTATTATTTAATGAAAAGTTGTTCATGAAGACAACACCTGCTTGCTTTCAAGATGACGTTTATTGTTAATTTAAAAATTTTTTATTGTATACTACTATGATTTACGGATGCAATAAATGAATTTAAATAGGATTGAATTCACTTGCAGAAGAGTTTGAAGTAAAAAGAAAAAAGAAATACTCCAAAGGCAGCTGCTGGCATTATGCGAAAAGCAAAGCCCAATTTTTTTATAATTTACACTACTGACATACTGTACCAAGCAAAATTAATTTTACTAAAGACACACACCACCACATACAATTACACCCCTTTTAAAGACAACAGGCTGTGGAGGGAAAAAATTGTTTGATATGTTGTACAACTGATTTTTATATGACACGAAAAGTGTGTTTGACGAAATACTTGGAAACAGTTCATGAGATACAGATTTTGAATGTTTGATATCTGGGAAAAAGGTGGAAAAACAGGGTGTTTAAATGCCCTTTTCCCTAGTTTTTATGTATTCAAAATCTGTGTCTCATACCTTTCAGAGTTATTCTTCAAACACCCTTTTTGTGACTTTAGAAAAATCAGTTGTATAACGTATCAACAATTTTTTTTCGTCCTGGAGACTGGCTTGTATGGAACACTTATATTGTTTATAGCTACTGTAATGTAAAGTCATGAATTCAATAAAGCAGGAATTTAAAATGTTTTTCAAATGTTAATTTTGGGAAATAGTTTTCTATAGCCCCTTTCAGACAGAACTACAATATTGCTGTAAGCACGCCGGCATGGGTATTATGTCTGAAAGGTTCAAAACGCCAATATGCTGGCTTACTTTAGACCACCTCGTACCTTAGTAATATTGAGGCAATATTGCAGGTGTGTCAATCAACTTGGCGTGTGCATTTATGCATAAACAAACAAGGGTAAAGTTAAAACAATTGAGCGCGGCTAGTATTTAATTTTTTCACTTTCACGGGTTGTCAAAAATGTAGCTTCCATTTTTCGTCGCCATTGTTTAGCTGCTCGAAATTCCAATCTCCTACGCCTTACACAGTTTCTAAATGATCTTTCAGATTGCTGTAGCTGAAATAACATTCTGTTTGTGTAATGCTCGTACAGCACGTACATAAAAAAAACCAAGTAACATTTACACAACAACAGCTGTGTAAGGTTTGATCAGGTGCCATATTGACAGAAATCTAAGCAAAAAATTTCGCCCTCTGTGTTTTAAACTGCCAATATTATGCCATTCTTTAGGACCCTTTCAGACAGAAAAGCGTTAGATTACCGCATTATTGTGGTAACAAAGGTGCTGTCTGAAAGGTTATAGACCGGTTATGCTTACCGCAATTTGCGGCAATGTCCATCTGAAAGGGGCTCTAGACACCTTTTAGTTTGTGGAGAGTCATACTCAACATACAATAAGTATTTACCTATTAAGGCCAACTCAGACACGATGCAGCCTGACGCGATTTGTTGTCGCGTCGGGTCTGTGTGAGTTAAACGCAGACGCGATGGTGTGCTTCGGGGGCAGGCGTGTCGTAGAATATTTAAAATGTTCAATATTTCTCACGACGGCTCAAGACTGTCCCCGACGATAAATTGACGTGCTTCGCAAGTATTTGGTCTGATTTTGTTTTAATACCATAAGTTTCTGTATTTTATAAAAACATGTTGTTGCTTGAAAAAAGTGCCTTATAAACACACTAATATATGCCCATATCTAGATTAACGATGCTATTGAATTTTCATGCTTGTTCTTACATTCTTTATTCAACTGTAAACTTCTTATTTCATTTTTTCTACTCAATCATCAATTTATTTCCTGGCAGGAAATCATTTGGAATTGCCAGCCTTTGAAGCGCAGCATTGATGGAGAATTCTATTTTTAGTTTAAAATAAAACTTTAATGAGCAGTTGTAAAGAATACTGAATGTGGATAACGATAAAAGAATTATACAGCAATAAGAAAAATTGATTACTTATGTGTTTTGGTGTGTGTTTGTTTAATTTTAGTATGAATTTGTTTATTGTGAATTTACTTATAAATTTATTTTTTTATTACTGTTCTGAAAACTACATTATTTCTATTAAATATTAAAGAGGATTAATTTCTAAGAGCATACTATATATTCTTGTGTATAAACCGCTTCTCTTATAAGACGACCCCCAATGGTTTTTGAATGATTTTTGTATGTCGTGCGTATAAGACACACTTACGATGAACATGATTTCAAAAATTAAAAACGTATATGTTTGCGCGTATACTTGTAAGACAACCCCCTGTTTTTCAATCTTAGTTCGTTATTTTTAAGCCTTTTCTTTATATACAGGAATACTGTAGACAGTACTCTTTATAATAACATTACTGACTAAAGGAGAAATGATATAAAGAAGAAGAAAGGAAAAGCAAGTTTATAGCCTGGAAAGTACATCTTGGAATATAAGATAAATATAATGAAATACAAAGTTCACTTATAAAGGCAGTAAGAATTATTTGATCAAATGTAACAAAAAAAAAAGCACAATGCTCAAAGACTTATATACAGTTAAAGGTATACCAGCATGATCAGTTAGCCAGCATGCAATAAATAAAAGTATAAATTTTCCAGTGTGCGAATGTGGCAAAGACAAGCCAAACCAGTCACTCATCTCAAAATTTGATTTTTAGTTATTAATACAGGGTCAAACAGTAAAATGAGAGCTATAAAATGGTAAAAGAATCATTTAGCTCTGACATTTCATTATGAAGTTTAAGGAGTTTAAACATACAGTACAACAATATTTGAGAAATCAGCCTTCAAAATTTACGAATTTGTGCATTTCTTAGGCAGAAACCATCACCAAATGGTTAAAAAATTTTGTTTTAACATTGAAAATGAGAAAAATAACAGCATAGCATGATGCATACATAATTATATAAAGGTTAGTTTAGTGCAATAAAATAGATTTCCAAAATTTAGACATTCCAAATTTTGACACAAATATTCTTTTGTGCTGTCATTTTTGTATTTGTTTCTCATCGTAACTCGCCGTACCCTACTCTAAAAGAGTGGTTAAACAGGCTGGCAAGCCTGATATGCCCCCCACCAAAAAAAAAAAAAGAAGCTTACAGATATTTCTGATGATGAAGAGGAGGAGGAGGAAGACGAGGACAATGAAATAGAAGTTGATAGAGAAGAAGATGGGGGTAATGACTCTCACAGTATTGAGAATGAGTCGGCTATCATAGAATCAGGTTCTCAAGGTCCCTCTGTCCCCCCTTCCCTTGAACAATTTTTATGCAAAAGAGTTATCTTGCTCAAGTTAGTTCAAAATCACCTCATATCACCTACTGTACTGTAAATTGTAATTAATTAATCTACTCAAGTATAAAAATATGTACTCGTTTGTACTGATTAAATTTACGATTCTAAATAGGAGGAGTAGGCCAGTGGCTGTGTTTTGACAACAAAGCATTTTTTTTGTCAGCCCTTTCCAGTTTATCAAATTTTCTTTGCCAAAAAAATGTAACATGACTAAATATTGCCGTGATGATGTCACATTATGACCATATATAGGCACATCATGACCATATATAAGCACATCATGACCATATATAGGCACATCATGACCATATTGACATACAACATTTTTTTGTCAAAAAAAAACTTAATAGTATGGGCAAGGCGTAATAGTGGTATTAATGTAAAGATTGACAAAATGAATTAATCAGAAAACTGATGTGTTATATTTTTTAGTGTGCATGAGCAAAAATGGCTGCTGAAGGCAGTTTATCAGATGAGGACTATCTACCAGCTGGCCTTCAGAGCGATATTTCTGATGATGAGGAGGAGGAGGAGGAAGAGGAGGAGAATGAAATAGAAGTTGATAAAGAAGAAGATGGGGGTAATGACTCTCACAGTATTGAGAATGAGTCGGCTATCATAGAATCAGGTTCTCAAGGTACAGTAAGTTATAGTTAATATGCATGCAAACATGTGCAAACTACATTGAATAAAATGCAAGTAAAATATGTCTTCAGTATTTGTGGACTAAGTTATGAACCCCTTTGGTTAATGATACTAGAGAAGCAGTGAAGTAAGTTTTGTGAAGTTATCTTGTGGTGCAGTTAGCAAAAAAGGATAATTTTTAGATGTCTTTAATAATATAGGTTGCCAGCAGTTATAATTTTGATGGCTGGAATCTTCCTAATCTAGAATTTATCAAAATTGTCATGTACAGTGTATTGCTTGTCAGGGGTGTATCTAGGATTTTTTCTGGGTGGGTCGTGATCATAATTTTTTGGAAGTTTTTCAGTGGGAGACAATAAAATCGATTACAGCGCCACCAGCTTGAAGCGGATGGCAGGCTCAGTTTCAGAATTGCTAGAATTGAGATACCGTAGATTACGTCACGCCATTGCCAAGGTCTTTGGACTCATTGCTGGTACCTTATCAATGCTTTTTCATTTATGTCATTGTGAGACCGAAGGCCCTAGAAAAGAATGTCTTTGGGAAAAATGTACGACCTTCCCGACAAATTTACAATATTTTTTAAGAAGTTTTTACTTTACTTTGTTAGCAATTGCCTCCTGGAACTCAAGGATTTCACCCACATAGTAGAACTGAATAGAGTTTAGGTCTCTTTTTTCATTAATCTAAGAAAGATAAATTGATTGACGTAGATATCTAACCTCATCCAAATACACTTGTACAAAATATTGACTCACAAGTTATGCATAGAGTGACAATAACGAGCAATATCCCACTCATGAGTTTATACTATAACTCCTCATCCATCACTGTGTTCCGTAGTGAATAAATTATGATTAGATTTGAATGAGGATAAAATGATTTGATCATAAAATTCAATGAATAATCAGTACTGTAGGTGGTAGGCTTTCCTAAAAATCGATTTAGAACTCCCTGAGGCATTTATTTTTCAGAAGGCTTTTATTTTAGGGATGAGTTTATTCAACTGAGGCGTTTATTTATTTATTTTTTTTTGGCGCAAAGTTGGATATGTACTGTATACTGAAATGCCCCTGAATTTCAGTGTAAATGTGGAAGTATTATAGTAATATACAACACATAATTACCCTCATGTGTTATTATTGCAGGATCATAAAGAGTTAATGATCCCAACCAGGTTAGAAAAAAATGTAATTCTACTGGTGTAGAACATGAATAAAATGTGTTTAGATTGATGTTGCTCCCATTACAGTAAGCTAGATTTGTTGTCATTTGTCGTGGGGGGGAGGGGGTTACATTTATTCAAGGGAAAAAATGTACACCTGGGGCATTTATTTAAGTGAGGCATTTATTCAATATGAAGCTCTAGAAGGGGCTTTTATTCAATAAAGTTGTTTTTCACAGCGGGGAGTTTATTAAAAGGTAGAGGTAAAGGTGGGAGAATAACCCGTAACTCTCAGCTTCATTGTGCTTCACTTCATGGGCGTGGTCTTTGACTACTTAGCGGCGCTTATAGTACCTAGGTACATGTTCACATCATTCCACAACAACAGGGGCTAAAATGAACCATAGCCTTGGGGTAGCCCCCCTACAGTACTCTTCTGAAAAATGCAATGGGTTCTTTAAAGTGCACAGGAGTCAGATGTGTACACTGGACCTCCATTTTCAGTTCTTAACTGAGAAGACTTGGTTCTACCAACCGAACGCTGGCGAGAAGCAACTGGAACCAGCGCCGATATTAAGGCTATAGTTAGCAGCGCCCCTGCCTTACCGCTCGGCCACTTGTCTAACCACTCGACTCGTTTATTCAAATAAATACGGTAATATGCAGTTATGTAACCGGCGGATGGTTCTTATGATTTAGGATGTACTGAAGAAATTGATGAGTAGCTTTCAAGGCGCTTTTGCTCATAAGCATTTTATTATTGTTCTTCTTTATCAATGTAATACAATATCATCCTTTGCTTGTTTATTATGTTAACAGTTACTATTTTTGTTTGTTTTATTTCCTGGTAAATTATTATTAAAGTTGTAGTCTATTTTGAAAAAAAAAAATTGTTCTTTTCGACACAGACTTGTAGAAGAAAACATTTGTTGAAAAAGATTTTCCATTTCCATATTAAAATGAAACTATATAATATAGTTCTGAAAAGAACCGTTGTTTGCTGAGAATTACCTACTGTTGTTGGTTGAGAACTATCTATGTGGTGTACGGCAAGCATTAATATTATTACTTCGCCATGGAAACCTTCAAACAATACTTTAAAATGAAGCTAATTATTATTATAATAATGTTATAAAAAGCTAAGAAATTTGAATGAAATAATATGATGATGACGATGATGATGATATAAATAATAATAATAATATGTAGGTTGATTGTGTCTGTTGTTTTCCTTAAAAATCCTCTCAATATCAATCATTATTCATACTCCATAGGATTTTACATTGTGAATAATGATTAACTTACAATTATCTTAACACTCATCCGTTTGAGCAGTTTGAATGCTTTTGACATTTGAACTTTTTTAGATCTAGAGCAGTTGCAATGAGGCTCCCAAGATTGTGGTCTGAGGATTTTAACCATCACTGTGAATTTTGTCTTTGGTCAGAGCACTTTGTACTTATGGTTGCAGGTGTCCCAAATTGGAAGAAGTTTAAAAGTACATCCCGGAGATGTGGTTAAATGGACTTTCTTAACACGTCTAACTTCATTTTGCTGTGCATGGTGAAACCCATTGGCAATGACATATGAAAATACAGCAAAAATGCAAATATTTGCTGGAGATGGTTTAATTTCCTGGAGAATATTGCGTGCTTGGATGAGTGCCTGAACCGATTTCCGAGATCCTCCCGCAACTTTTGCTATTTGTGTTGCTCTAGGTTTAGGCTGCAAGGAATTGTTTGTATCTGACCTACTATTTTATCCTTTTGTGTACTTTGAATTAGGAACTAAACCTGTTGTAGAACAACATCAATACAAACAGCCCATTGTGCATCCCATCTTACAACAATGGTATAGTCCATTGTTGGGTGGCTGTATAGACAGAATTAACCATGAGAACGCAACAAAGATGTTGGATAAAATAACTAAAGATACCTCACATCCACTTAACAGCTGTTTTGTGACAAATGACTCTAGTAGACTCCGCCCAGTTATTAGTGAATACAAATCAGTATAGGAATTTCTTTGTTAGCAGTGCTATACTCATTAACAACTCAAACTTTCATAGGTAATGCAATACAGTAGAAATCAGTGCTTTTTCTTGTATTTATATTTTATGTATCTATGCGTAACTGATCTTAAATATATTTACTGATTTCTTAGGAGCATGTGGCTTAGCATGTAAGGTGTTGGACTTGATTGGGAGTTCGGGACTAACGCTCGTTGCATTGCTTGTGTCCTTTGGCAAGGCACTTTACTTACGTTTGCCTCTCTCCACCCAGGAACTATAAATGGGTACATGGTAGAATGGTATGGCATTGAATTATGGGTTGTGCACGTACAAGCAGCAATGACCAGGGATACTCCCCAGAGAGCAGAGAAAGTTGCACTATTACAGATCTGCCAATTCAGTATCCAGTGACCAGGGAAATAATGATGCCAGCACCTTGTATAATCGCTTGTAAAATCTGCGGATTATGAAAGGCGCTATATAAATTATGGTTCAATTAAAAAAAAAAAAAAATTATTTTTAAATTTTTTGTTTTCTATTAGTTATCAAGCATCAAGATTGCATTATGTAATTTCATAGCTCACTTGTTTGGAATATGACAATGATAAAGTTTATCTTTCTTTTATCTTATCTTATGATACACAGAAGCTGCTGCCATGAGCGAATTTACAGATATGGCGCTATACTAAATTGATATCATTATTTATAATGTTTTTGCTTTGAAAAAAAAATATTCATATTTATTTTTATAAAATGTGCCCAATAAAGATCTTATTTTATCTCTCCTCCCAATAGCTAATAATTCCAAATCAAATGAAGATTTTCTTGCGTCCTTTGTGAGTATTCCCGATGGTGCTGAAGATGAAGAAGCTAAACCTAAAATGAAGAAGAAGAGGAAAAAGAAGTCTGATCCATCAACTAGTAAGAAACGAAGGAAATCGGGAGAAAAGGATGGAGAACCAAAAAAGAAGAAGCGGTTGAACAAACCACCCTCCAAAAGAAGAAATATACGGTAAGGTATTTGTAAAATAATATGGAGATACAGTAATTTCGGTACATGCTGGTATTTTTAATTTAAAATCATCTCCACACGATATTATATTGAGTCTGGTCTCTTTATTTTTGTTCTATCGGTCAGGTTCTTTATTTTCTTTTTATTAAAATAAAATAATATTGTTGGCGGCAATTACATTTGTACCACACTATTTCATTTAAGAGATTAAAAAAAAAAAATTTTCACATTATATATTTTATTTATAGAACTTGTAGTTGTATAGACCAATACCTTTTAGTGAAAAGCTTTGATCTCCACTCGATATTATATTGAGTCTATCTATTTTTTGCATTCTCGGTCAGGTTCTTTTATTTTCTTTTTATTAAAATGAAATAATAATCTAGACAGCAAATACATTTGTACCAAAGAATTTCATTTAATTGATGAAAAAAAAATTCATATCGTATCATATAGTATTGAGTGAGCTTGCTTGTATTTTTATAGACCAATACAAGGATTTAAGTGAAAGAAAGAGAAAAACACGTTCATGTAAATGGCATGCACACCTTAGGGCAATTGTCATTATCTTCATGAACACTCTATACAGTACTCTGAGGGGAAAAATAACAACCAACAAAACAATTAATTAAAATAATGAATTGCTCAATAATGATGAAATATAACGACTTGCTATGTGTTAAAATAATTAATAGTTGTAATACCAAAAGCCTTAAATAGATTACCAGCCAATGGGCATATTAAATAAAAATCCTTAGAATGCTAATAGGTAATTGCTTCTACAGAGTAGGTTAGGCAATTTGATAAATGAATAATTTTTACAAACCGTAATGAAAATTGTTGGCTTTAGATGAGAATATGTCTGTCTGGTCAAACACCTGTAAGCAATTAAGCCTTGTACTTGACTACAAAAAGAGCTTTGAAATACAATATCGGGGGAAATGGTACATGTGAAGACATGATGTCATTTCACTATGAAAAGCCATGTAATCAACGATCAATGACATACAGTATTTAACATGAACAGTGCTATGGTTTAGTTAGTTAGTGTACATTGTAAAGTCTGTTGACGTTGTATAGTTATTACAGGGTTCTTACACG